CATTGTTGACACACTTAGTGTCCTATTCTGGGTCGCAGTTTATGTTAGAATCATCGTCCCATTTGTCAGAAAATTCACAGGATCACAAGAATGGCTTCACTCAACTCCAGTCAATGGGCATTAGCCTTGTCATATCTTTGTTTTCCATGCCATCCGTGGAATTTCTTCATGTGTATCGTTTCTGCCAATGGTGTTTCAAGAAGTTGTAAATTTTGCCCTTTTTGAATGTCATTTGCTTTACTATATATGAATAATACGTCAACAGAAAATAACTCATGCTCATGCTATCTCAGAAACCTAACGGATCGACCTAAAATGGTGAAATATCCTATATTTCCTAAAATGACTCATCCTATATCTACCAACGCGCAGACGAAAATGCAACTTACTTTTCGTGACTATTTTAGATAAAAGGGTAAATTTGGCAGAATTATTCCTTCCCCTAAAGTCCAAATAATCTTCTCTCTCTACAAACTACAAAAGTAATGGCGTGCACAATCCATTTGTTTTTAGGACATTGTGCCAAAATATATTCAATAGTACTACTCTAATAATGTGGAGGGAACACCAACTAAAATCCGAAATCTTATCCCTATCATACCCAAACCTTCTTAAATTGGTCATTTTATTTATAGAATAACATATTTATACAAACTAAAAAGTCTCCGTGTATATATATATATATGTGTGTGTGTGTTTTGGGTAAATTAAAGATGTATATTGAATTATATGATGCCTTTGTTTCGCGGGTGCATATATAATACTTGGAGTGGGAAACCTAAAGCATTAAAGGATGGAGATTGGACGGTAGTCCTACATTTAATCAAATGACTCTTACAAACTGTCGGTTGGGCTTTTCCAATATTACGTGTCTTGACTTGTAACAAAGAAATCGATGATCTATCGACTACGAATAAAATTAGTTACACATACACATCTATATCTATATATCTATATATATATATGAACAAGTGGGAGTACACTTTCTCTACAAGAATGAACATCTCTCTCACGCATACACACTAGCTGAGAGGATTATAACCAAATGGTCTTTAGTTTACGATATTCTCAATTTAGAGAAACTTCTGCCTAATTTGTATTCAAATTGAAATAAAAATAACTACTACAAATTGAAATAAAAATAACTACTACAAAAGTCAAAAAAATGTCATTCATCCCATCGGCAGTTAGGATATTGTAACAATCAAATGTTGTTTTATTCATAGATTCGAATCTGTCATGTATATTAAAATCATTAGTGATAAAATCGTCACTAAAGATGACTTGAAAGCAATGTCTTCATTAGGAAAATCCAACTTCACATCTTCCATTTTAAAGCAATGTCTTTAATAGGAAAATCAATTAATTAATAGTGAGCATATATTTAATCATTCTGAGACTAGGTTTGGCCCCGCATTGTGACCTAAAAATCACTTGTTTGAAATAAAAGATAACCTTTCAGATTCTATACATGCAAAGGTAAGATTGCGTGCATTTGATTTTCTTTAGACTTCTCAATAATGAAAGTTGGTGCACTTCACATACCATTTTATATATTCAATCGTTTTGTTTTTCACCAATGGAAGTAGCACATTTTAGCACACTTGTTCTATTAGGACTTCGTTTTAAGCTCTTTCCATTAGTGATAATGTTCCATTCTTATATATATATATACCATGATTCGCAGTTACGATATCGGTCGCGGTATAATGGATTTGGACCAATATCGTTATAAATTGACCAAATCAGCGTCATAAAAATGCGTAACGATATCGAATCCTTAAAATTTGATTATATACATTCTCTTCTTCGATTTAAGTATTGTTCATTATATTGTTCTATTAAACTTCTTATCTTGTCCTTCACTTATTAGACCTTATATATATTTTATATCTATGATGCATGAGATGTAATGCTAAAATTATTTTGAGATATGGATGAGCTGATGGAGTGTCATATGAAGCCAATTCCATATGTAGAAACTAGAAAGATGAGGATAAGCTATTAAATTTGCAAAGTTTCAATTATTAATACCTTATTAAGTTGCAACCTGCTATGCGTCTGCTAATCACAAGTATACTAAATCAGTAGCATACATCCACAAACATTTGGATCAAGACAAAAAGAAAAATCTTCCTATCATTAATACGTCACCAAAATAACTTTACGTTAGACTATCATTTACTCTAAAAATTTTTTTTTTTAAATTTTAGTTTTAAGTAAAACTAAAATTTAAACTATGTGTAAGAAGCAGCTAAATTAACAAATCAAAAAGAGAGAAGTTGTGATACCATATTAAACTACCACTAACCATAAAAATTAAATTTATTTAGAAATAAATCAAATAAAGTACATAAAATTCTTTATTAGTGCCACAACCTTTTCCGTTCGCAAGGAACGGAGAAGATTGTGGCATTAAGTTCTTTGCGATAGTATGGTTGTATGTAGACGTGCTTAGAAGTACTTAATTATCGGCCAAGGAGGCCCCATTCATTTAATGGCGTAGGACACGGCCGGCCGGCCAACACAGTTGAACCAAACCTTTTTTTTGTCTCAATTTCATGGCAGTCTATAAAAGAGGCTATAGCATGCAAGAGGATTCCAAATAATAACAATATAGTTTTGAAAGCTATTGGCCACCAAATCAATGATTTAAATGATATATTTGAAAAGTTGTATCCGTACAACGACTATATTTATTATTCAGTGTTGCGACTCCTTTGTTTCTACAGTGTATCCATATTCTATATCATATGCATGACTGACTGACTTAGAATAACATACATTGAACAATGATAGATTGGAGTCAACAGTATTTTTATTTTTTATTTTTACAAGTCAACAGTAATTGAGTAACAAAGAGGCTGTGGCCTCAAGGTGAATATGGTATATATGCTGTATCTATGCATTTATTTATACCATTTGCTTGAATTTTCGGAGAAGAAAAAAAAAAAAAAAAAAGGGTTTGTGTACATGTTTTATGATTTTTTTTTTTTGGTTGTAAATACTTGTAAGCAAAAGCAATTGATTGACCCAGTTTTTGATGATGGATGTCCTGTATACTTAATTTGGAGCCGACCTTTTCCAAAATCCACGCATTAAGGCCTTAAAATCATTGATTTGATCATTATTAGTAAAAATTATATATAAATAATTGTAGATTTTTAGATCATTATTATATATATATATATATATATATATATATATATATATATATATATATCTATAATTAATTGTAGATTTTTTATTATTTATTTTAATAAGTAGTTGAAACTTAAGAAAACTCTATTGTTGAGAAGACTTGAGGTATCATGTTCATATATATATATATATATATATATATATATATATTATCCTATTTGTTGTGTTACTAGCTAGTTTATGCATGTAATGCTTGTGGTTTATTCACATCTGTGGCATGAAAAATGTATAAAAATTGTCGGCATAGAATTATTATTTTCCGATTAATTTCTAGTGGGCGTTAAAAACTTCACCTCCATTAATCAATCAATCAATCAAATGTATCCATATAAAAATTGCAGGGTAGCTCTGAAAATGAATCATTCTGTTTCGGTTAATAGGATTCTGAAAAAAGTTGGATACATGGAATATTACTCACTTCTAATCTAATCTAAATAGATCATGAAATGACTTATGCACCAGATATTAAAATAATGATTAAGACTCCACTGTATATCATTAATTAGCTTTCAAAACATAGATAATAAATAATGTTATGCACTTTGAACCCTAATCGCCTCCACATAACGTTATGCTGTGGGCTGTGTTTGTAATCTTTTTAATATTTATAAATTTACTTGAATTTTCAAAAAAAAAAAAAAAAAATCCCCTCCCCTGTTTAGGGGATTTGTACGTGCACTTATATTATATAATGGAGCATAGTTTACGTTGATAGTTATACAACAAATTTATATTAAAGATACAATACTTGTGCAACATGTTATATCTTGTTACATTATTATAACATAATTAAATTAAAATTTTAACATATTTATATAATTATTGCATTACCGATTTAAATTTTTTTGCTTTCACGGCCTAAAATTATTGCAGGGAAGATTCTGATTCATATGCTTTAGAGACGTAACAATAACAAAGATATGTATCTTTTGACTGTTAAAAAACAGCAGAACATGGTCTTCATGTGTGGCTTCTTCTTTGTTTAGCAGAGAAGTTCAACGTGCTACTAAGTCTCACGTAGACAAAGTTACAAAGACAAGGAAACATGCACATTGAAGGAAAACACATACGTGTAAGAATTTTAGTCCATTGTATCTCTCAATTTCCCAAAATAGAATTAAGGATTCAAATTTTCAAATGGGCAAAGTGTGTAGGTGTAGTTTTTGCTAAATAAAAATGAAATTTACAATTATTTATTTTTTGTTAAAAGAAATTGTACCAAAAAAAAAAAGGAATTATATATATATTTTATTATAGATGTTACAAAGGAGTATTAGATTGAAAAGGCAATAGTATTTTATTTTGAAAGGCCCCATCTTCTAGAGGGATACTTTTCTCTTAAAAAAAAAAAAAAAAAAAAAAAAAAAAAAAAAAAAAAAATTGTGTTAGAAACTTAAATAATATATAAGCTAGGCAATATTTTATCCAATAAATAAATTTCTTATGGGTTCCACACCCGACCACTGATGCCCTCACATCACAAACTTCTTTGCTTTCTCAATTGAACAACTCTAATGAACAAGTTTCTTTTGAAAACAACTTCTCTCCTAAAAGGGAAGTTAAGTGAACATGCATATATATATATATATATATATATATATATATAATCTTCAAATTGATCAAGAATTCATGATTAACTAATTTTTATCTTCACATGCATTCTTAAAAAACTGTTTCTTATTTTGGCTCTTGTATAACTCCTAATAACCTCCTTATTACCCTACACTCTAGTGTTGGACTTCCTAACTCCCTATTTAAACCAACTGCCAATGCCACTCTCTTTCACACAAATACCTACCTTCACTTCTCAAAATTCAATGGCTCACCACTTTGTTCTACTCATCATGTTCATGCTCCCAGCTTGGACCATTTCTCAAAGGCCACCTTCACCTGATTACTACCCTAGTTCACAAATTGCTTCAGAAGGGTTCAGTCAAGGGTTCAGAAATCTCTGGGGTCCTGATCATCAAACCGTTAACCAGGGCTCATTAACAATTTGGCTTGATAAAAGCTCAGGTACCTACCTTGAACAACACAGTTCATACACCTTGTGGTGCACAGTGCTAGCTTTTGTGTTTTTTTTCGTCTTCGTCGTAATCATATAGACTTCATCTTTTAGACTATAATTTTCATCGTCTTATTTTTTGTGTAGGAAGTGGATTCAAGTCTCTTACTATGTATAGGTCCGGTTACTTCGGTGCCGCCATCAAACTCCAATCCGGTTATACTGCAGGAGTGATTACATCTTTCTATGTAAGTACTAGACTGTTTATTAAGCGGTCGAAGACCACATCATAAGATGTCATTCAACCAAATGCATCAGCGTTATTTACCTTTTTGATTGTTTGACATTTTGTGGTTGGTCGTAGGGACCTAGACTACCTATTCAGCTTCAGTAGGTTTTTCTTCTCTTAGTCTCTTTATATAATATAAATATATATATGGTGGTTGGATGTGGAAAATGCAGATTGAATTGATTTTTCAAGTTGATGAACAATTTTGACAGCTTTCGAACGGTGAGGATCACCCTGGAAACCACGACGAAATCGATGTCGAGTTACTGGGAACGACGCCGGATAAGCCATATACTTTGCAAACAAACGTGTATATGAGAGGAAGTGGAGATGGAAATCATATAATAGGAAGGGAGATGAGGTTTCATCTCTGGTTCGACCCAACACAAGATTTTCACCACTATGCTATACTCTGGAACCCCACTGAAATCATGTAAACTTGTTGTTTTCACCATTATACTTGTTGTTAATTACTTTATATTTGTCTATATCGATCTGTTACTTTCTTTTTTTTTGGTCATATAGCATATATATATATATATATATATATATATATATATATATATATATAGATAGATACACACTCACACATGCATGTATATGTATATCCTTCAATGTATGGAAGGGCATGCATTATACTCATACTACACATGCATACATGTTTATGTGAATTGCTAGCTGACCATGTATGGCATAGGTCAAGGGAAGCACCATGCCTGCATCATATATAACGTATGGACTTTTTTATATATATATATATATATAATATCAATTTTTTGGTGAATTAAAAGGGCATCACTGGTAATTCACGCGCGCACCAACTAACAATATACAATTTTGGATGAAATTTAGTTTAGTTCATGGACTTAATTAACTAAATATGTGCATGTGACATGAATTTAGGCTAAAGTGACGGAGAAACTCCAAAACACTAGAGGAATGTTTGTTTCATTATTTCAAAAATAGTATTCGATCAAAGTAGTAAATACATTTAGAAATTGAAATGAAGTCTTCTTTTAAATATCTAATTAATTGTATGATTCACATACTATTCACAAAAGCAAAAATGTAATACAAAAATCATTCTGATTAATGTCTTTGATTTTCTTATTGTGAATTATTTATGATTAATTATCTAAATTAATATATATGGTGTGTTGTACAGATTTTATGTGGATGATGTGCCAATTAGAAGGTACCCAAGAAAAAGCGATGCAACATTTCCACTAAGACCTATGTATGTGTATGGATCGATATGGGATGCCTCATCCTGGGCCACAGAAGATGGAAAATACAAAGCCGATTATCGATACCAACCGTTCATCGGAAAGTACACCAATTTTAAGCTAGGTGGGTGCACCACCGGTGAGCCAGCGTCGTGCCTTCCACCAACGGGCTCTGCAGCAGGCTCTACCGGACTGAGCCGTCAGCAGTACTCAGCTATGGCGTGGGTGCAGAGGAACTACAAGGTGTATGACTATTGTCTCGATCCCAAGAGAGACCATACCCTCACACCTGAGTGCTACTAGCTAGGGACTTATTTATATATATATATATATATATATATATACACACACACACACACACTTGAGTCACGTATAGACAATTTGTTTGGGGGTGACTTGAGATTGGTCCACACTTGCACGCCAAAAAAACGTAGTTGCAAGGGTGGTTGACCGTCCATGCCGCCAAAGATTTGAATGTTGTGTTGGAATAAGTTAGTTATAAGTAACATTGTCAACTATTTGTTTTGTGTGTGAGTGTGAGAGTGTGTGAGAGTGTGTGAGATGACCTCAAAGAAACCAAATGGGTGTAACTATATATATACGCACCAAATAAAGCAAATTATCTTTCAAAAAAAATAAAGCAAATTAAAAGAAGTGATTGGCTCACCTATGGGTGCATTAATTCTTTTTGCTGGCTCATTTGTGATGTTTCACACTTGAAATATTTAATCATATAAATACTGTTTTTTCAGGCTCTTCAACCACAGAGTGCTTTCATGTTGGATACTTTTGGACCTCCCAACAAAAAATAAAAAAGGCCTAAAAGGCTTATGGCCAGAAAAGAACCTTTTAAGGCCTATCAAGCCCTTACAGGTATTGGCACATAGCGAAGTTTTTTCATTAGTCTGAATTTAGACTACGTCAGAGGCAAGTAGTATAGTACAAATTCATAATTCATAATTCATAGTACAAATTCAACCACAGAGTGCTTTATTTTTAGGAATTTAAGCACTTTTAATGAGTTAAAAATTAACTAAAGATCAGATCTTCTCCTACACGGCACAGATGTTGTACGACATTGGATCCCGGCTCTATAAACTATACCTCGGAGTTAAAAAAAATTGAGTGTGTAGACAAATCACACTGCATGGAATTTATTCCCATTTATTACTTATCAGCCTATTTATTTCATATGTATTTGTCTCTATTCATTAAAATTTTATTTCAATTTCTAAAGAAGTATCACCTAAATCAAACATATGATCCCTTAAAAATACTTCCCCGTATCACCTTTAATCTTAGCTATCAATTATTTTCCTCCTTCAAATTGGTTTCAAATTGGTTAAAGAGTCGTAAACTAAGAATTTGATCCATATCTTTCTAAAATCTTTCATTTTTGTTGTTTCTCGTAAGACTCGGATCCCTTTTCGCAGACCGCGTATAGATTATACACTAGTATAACACGTATATGCAAAGTTGGTATTATTTGTAAGGGATAATTTCACTGATATTCCTTCATATTTGATCAAATATCACTCTCAAATATTTTTTAAAAATACGTTTATTTGGTTTTTCACTCACATCTCAAAAGTTAGTTGACCGTTTGTGTCAGATCACTTTTTACCCTCTGAGTTTGGTTTAACCTACTAAATTGTTTATTTAATGAGTGAAATGACATGTTTACCCTTACTTTTCCATTGATATGTTCACAATCCTTTTATTGTGTGTGTGTGTGTGTTTGTATTATCATTAGTGTGTGCAATTTATTCAAACACAAGACTGATCGGTCAAGGCACAAAATTGGGCGATTTACAGAAAATTCTTTTCCAAATACCTTGCCATCACCTACTCCAGCAACTGCCATCTCCACCCACACTTGCTACCACCACCATACCACCTCTCTCTCCTCTCCTCACTCTTAATTTTTAACACCAAATCATATATACATTATATACATCTATACCACCCAAGACATAATTCTCTCTCTCTCTCCTGGGCCGAAACCCATTTTGGGATTGTTCATAATCACCTTCCTCTCTCTTCTTCACTCTTTTCCGGTTGATGTCACTCAGGCTCTAAAATTGTGGATTTCCGTAAAGACTCTTGAGAAAAATGACATTAAGGAATAATGAAAGAATATACACAGAGACATATATATATATATATATATATATGTAGACATTACACAGAGACATATATATATAGACACACACACAGACGCCCACACAGACATCCGTCGAGGTCGCCGTCGCCGCCGCCGCCCACACAATCCCAATGCATCACCAATCGTCGCCGCCACCGCCCACACAATCCCAATCCCTACCCAACATTGCCGCCGCCGCCACCGCCCACACAATCCCAATATCGGCTTCGGTGGCTCAATTGCAGTTTCCCATGCTGTCATATCCACTACCGTACGTGTGCTTGCCATCCCCGCGATAGCCGTACCGTTTTCCCCATTTTTACATTCTTCAAGCTTTTCCTTTTCAAATTAAACCCATGATAAGCCTTAAAATAACAATTAAATAAAGGCATTTGGTATTTTACACACCCCCAAATCTAATGGTGAATTTTTTTTTTATCCATTATTGAGTTTTTGTGAATTACAGTGCTAGGGTCCTTGTAATATACACATAAACCGAGTCCATGACCAGCGGCGAAAACCTCTTCACTAATACAACCGAAGGCTTCAACCCTCATCTGTTTATCAAGGTGATCCAACCGACATCCAATCGACAGAGAAAGTTTAGAGCCTCATCGACATCAACCGGAAAAGCTTCAGACAAACCCAACCAATAATCTCGGTTCTGAGATTAGATGTGTGAGATTGTTGGTGTCGAATTAATTTTTTAATCCATTTATAATTATTGTCCATGAAAATATAAGAATCAGTAGAGATTTTGTTAAACTGTATATGTAGAGAAGAGAGAGAGACAGAAGCATAACAGAGGAGAGAGAACTAGGGGTATAATAGTCATTTAAGTTATCTGATATTATGAAATAAATGTAATTAAAAAATTAGTGGCAAAGATGTTTTTTTTCATCTTTTTAAGGAGAGAGTGACGAAAAAGTGAAAATGAACCTTTATTTTTTAAAGATATTTGAAACTGATATTTGGCCAAATTGAATAAACCCTATTTGTAACCTCCTTGTTACTTTAGTAATGTGAAATTATTACATAAACAATGCAACAAAGAATAAAATCACACGAGGTTTCGTCCCTTATAATAGTACTCCCTCCATCTTTTCTGGTTCTCTTGCAAAAGGCAGTGTTAATCTTCTAAAGGAGGAGACCATTAGCACATCTCAATGTCAACTAGTCTATGAGAAACATTGATAGGTTTTAATTCAAATACTAACTGATTTGTAGCCATTTAGTGATATCTGTACTTCTCATCTCCTTCCATTAAACCACTGGATCATTTTGTCCCTTTCATAGATACTAAGTTAGGTAACAACACAACCCTTACCACCTAATCTAATAGTCTTCACATCATTTTCCCAAAGAACTACACTAGTCAATCCATGCATAATTATTGTTCCAGTGATTTTTACTCTCGATGACAACTGTTTGCAAGACAATGCAACTGTGTAAAAACTTGCTTAGTTGACTGTTTTTAAAACTTCTAAAAACTAACTTAAAAAATGTCTATTTTTAGATAATAATTTTTTATAATTATTTGCAAATAATATTTTTGTTTTCCAAGTGACAAACCAAACAGACCTGTTACCATACAAATTATGCGATCCTCCACCACCATAACTTAAGCCCTTCATTCGAACTCCTTGCGCAGCTCAAAAATTTATTTCCAGGTCCATACTTGTCTTTCAGAAAAGGGGTTTTAAGAACTTGATCTAAAGCCCCGACATGCAATATCCAACACTTTTTGCTGCTGCTGCTGAATATTCCAGTCCACTGAATTCTATTCCCTTCCTCCTGATCATAGTTCCACTTAAATCTTCTGATTAGTGTTTTCAGTATTTACGCATGGTAAATGGTAAAAAAAGAAGAAGGTAGATTTAATTAAATAATCCTTTTGTAGTTGATAAAAAATACTTTTTCCGAATGGCTAAGTATTTATCCTTTCTGCCCTGGCCCTCTTTTAAAATGCATATTAAAAAAAGAATAAATTTAGTTCACGAGACTCTCGTCATTACACTCCAAAATTAAGATTAAAATGCAGCAGATTTGTCAATGATGGATAACTCATACTCCCGTGATGGAGCCAACTCATACTCCTTGGAAATTAAGAAAGAATTATCACCAAATAACAAATGAGTCACTTTCAGCATCCTTTACTACTCCATTGGTTGTTACAAAGACAATCCTTTCCGTAATGACCTGTATTTGTGTATAACTGTATATACACATACACATGCACACTTTCATTAGTTGTTTAGTCAATTAATTGTGACGGATGCTAATTACAACCTTTGGAACCTAAAGGGTCCACACAATGCCCTACATATCATCATTGTCACAAAACAAAACAGAAGGGCCACAATTATTATTTGAATCCAAAATGCCACAGGTTCAAGGGCGGATATAAACTGACGAGTTGTGATCCAAAGTCAGAAAGTGGTGGGTGCACATCCACCGTTCACATAAATATATATATATATATATATATATATATATATATGAGAATTGGACTATATATTTATCATTTTTCTAAACTGATCGATCAGTCAACAATAATAATGCAAAATATGACATGATCAATCTTTGTTAACTGATTGATAATTGAAGAATGATGGCATTGCTTCTCAAAAGTGTTATCTTTTCAAGCAACACACAAGTCATTTTTTTTTTTTTTTATTGCTTTCCACCAGCTATTGAGTTCTTTCAATAAACTAAAAACTAAAAAAAGGAAATTCACACTGTATATCATCTTTGATCCGCATGACAAAGCATGAGGACCTCTCTACCGTATCGTATTTATTTAATTTCACCAATAAAATATTCCTTTTCACATGTACTCTTACATATATACAGAACCACCAATGTCCCGCCAAAACCGAAAATTCAACCAATAACACCACGCCATCTCAGCTCAAACCCCACATAGGAACAAAATCCCCACCCTTCATGCAACACAGGATCTATTAGAATATATTCTATCCCCTGACCAGCTGAGCAGCCCAATGAAACCAGCTGTATCCCAACACTATCTCAATTCATTAGCATCCACCACATCGGAAAAAAGTCCATTATTAGCTGTCAATTCTTCTTTTCCAATAAGAACCCGTCACGTGTCGACCGCCCATTCGCTAGAAAGCCTCTAACGGCTGTGGGACCTGTTAAGCTTCTGCGCCAGAGCATCAAGAATGTGCCACGTAGCATCACCTTTCTCCGTCTGATCATTGAAGAGTAAGGCCCGCCTAGTAGCCGGGTCCCACAGATTCCTCTGGATATCGGAGAGATTGGAGGCAGCTACGTGTTCAAGAATCATTCCCAACTCCCCGACATCTTTCTCCGCCACCGTTAGGGATATTTCCGGCCACGGCACGGCGGCGGGGAAGGGCAACCGGATACCATCGGCTATTATGACCGGCACGCAACCCAAAGCGACAGCCTCAACTAATCTTGGACTCCATGGGGCCCACCCAAGTGGGCACAAACAAAACACCGAACGACCTATCTCCGACTGGTAACCCGAAAACCTGTGCCTCTTCAAGTAAAACCTCCGGTCATGGCTATACCTCTCCCATATATCCGTCCGTACACGCCTAAAAACAGTAAAGAAAAGAAACGACAGGGTCAATATCGTAATTGCATTATTGCCGAGTCTATAAGTAGAGGTGTCAATTTGTACTGACATATATAGCATCGTGTTAAATGGGAGTGGACAAGTACCGGCACTTGTAAGAAATGGGTCAAGAATTGTTATCCCACGGCACGGCAAGACATTAGGCCATGTTAAATTAAACTAGTCTAATTGATTAATAAGCGATTTGGGGAGTCAATTTTGAATACAGTGAGTTTGATTGGTATGTTAATTATTTGAAATTACACAAAATTTAATTCAATTATTAAACTGAATTTCTCATATTCTAACTCTCAAGTTCTTAAATCGTATTGTGTTTTGAGTGTTATAGTGTTGGGTTCGTTCCTGATATGGGATTCTAATATAAAACTACGAGTATTACTTATGGACAAGAATGGTAAAAAAAAATTTACTTGCTGTAAAAACGTCCGCTGATGTTCTTTGGGTGAACTTCCATCTTGCCCCTGAAAAACACAAAAATGTCTCGCCGGCCATTCACCGGCAATTTGGCGAGTGTTGACCGTACATTTGCCGGAGAGATATAAGGAGGGATCACCACATTATCAACGTCTTGACAGGGATGCTCGTATTTGACACCAAACGTTTGCAATATTATCGATTTCCTCAAAAACTCAGGTATACCATCCGCAATCGCCACATCCTCCTTTCAAAAACAAAAACATATTTTTAGATTCCCAAAACAGACAAAATTCAAAAACATTGTCTTTGATTTAGGTTTTCGCTTACCATGGCGTGAAAGCAAGCTCCGTAATCGTGAGAGGCGACGAAGACGTGGTCGGAGCCCCGGCTCCGATTCCAGAAGGGAAGCTCCGAGGAGATAACCTGAACCGCAGACGCTAAAAGAGGCCGTGCGTGACCCAACGCCGGGAAGCCATTAACGGTGCTGAAGTTGCAGGACACGTAGACAGGGACGAAGAAGAAGTCAGCATCAAATGGGTCAAGCGTCCGTACATCACTGTTCAACAGAGCTCTATGTATTGCGACCTCTGAAGCAAACAAATGTTTGCTACACCTCTCGTCTGACAACCAATCACTGTTGTATTTGGATGGCAAATCGTATACATACACCTTCAAATCCTTCAACAAACCTTGATGGGTTGTGGGTTGTTGTAGAAATGTGGTGCTGGGTGATTCGAAGAGGACACGGGAGGTTAATGGTAAGCTTTTAGAGAGAGAAAGGGGGGTGATTTTAGAGAGAGAATCAGTGGGTTCGTGGGTAGTGGGGGTGTGGGTGATGAGATAAGAGGTGAAGAAATAGAAGGAGAGAGAAAACCAGAGAACCCATTTGAAGTATCTGTAACAAAAGATGTGATCTTCAGGTTGTCTTCCATGTTTGCTCTGTACAAGTCTCATCCTGACATAGAATCCCCTGTTTTTGGTGGGTCTCTTTGAATCCACCATTTCTAACTTCAAATCCAATGATTATTAGAGGGACTTACAAGCAATGGTGGTTGGGCTTATGCTTTCGTTGTTGGTCTGAAGATGAAGTAGAGATGAAGAAACAGAGATTGAAGATATGGGTTTGTTGGTAGTTCGTTTTAACTTCAAAAATACAACAATTTAAACAAATAATACTCCGTAATAATTAATTATAGAGGTGTTGCAGGTGCAGAAGAAGAGAGAGAAAGTAGAGAGAGAAGTTTTTAGAGAGGGGGAGGAGGAGGAGGGAGTGTTCTCTCATCTGGTGATTGTGTAGTTTATGGTCAAAATCACTTCTTTAAAATCTTGAAGCATATGAAAAGGTCGTAGTAATACCACATTAAGAAAAGTCCAAGTTCATAATAACTTGGTATTGAATGAGCAATGACAGGATTGAGACTTGTGGGGTCAATAGATTTCACTGTTTGATTTTTCTTGGGGAAATGGTAAGCTTCAATGAAAGCTTTGTTGAAATTACAGAATACTTTTTGCCAAAACTGCTTTGATGAAAGGGCAAAGTTGGAAAAAAGTATGATTTATCACGGAAGTTTGAGAAAGGGGTCTGTCTCCTCTGAAAAGGCCCTCGGAAAGCTCGTTGTGTTTTAAAAGTTGTTTGATTCTGGTAAAAGCCCAAGGACATGAATCAACTAGAAATTTTAAATTTTGTGTTTTTTTTTTTTTTTTTTAAGAGTAAATTTTAATAGGGGAAAAGCAAATGCTACATGAATGACCAATCCAGCCTTTTCATTTTTCAGTAGCGATGACAGCGTGAAAGATATTTTAGTTATATTATATTAGATGATCCATTTCAAAATAAATTAAATGATTTTTAAATTAAATACTTATATTCTCCTTTAAATTAGAAGGTCTCCAGTTTAAGTCCTTTAAGAGCTCAAGCAAGTGCGTGTGATCATATCTTTTACCAATGTTAAAAGAAGTTTTATTTTAAAAAATTTCGAAATGTAACCTGGTTTAGTTATCTTATTCATCAATCAAAAAAAAAAAAAATATATATATATATATATCTAAACGTATTATCAAAAGTTCTTTTGATTCCGTGTAGATCTAGTCACACAATCTTCTTAATGGGTATCACTCTCATTCTCTGTACGTGTTCTCGTTGAAATTCTCATTGCTTATGACTTAAATTCTATCGAATTCGTTCTAACTCTCGCTCTCGAATTCGTTTTAACTATCGCTATCGCTTTATGTAACTCAGATGTAGATAAGTACTTATGTAACTTAGATTTTGTTCAAAACACATCTACATGGGTAGGAGTGTAATGTATTAAAATTTGAGCAACTTTTTGAAATACACTCTTCTTGTTTGTTTGGTCATATAAATTTGTGCATGATTCCCATTTTATGTTAAAGATTGGCTTTGATACCATCTATTATAATAAATTTGTGCATGATTCCTATTTTATGTTAGAGATTGATTTTGATACCATTTATTATGAACCTATCACATAAATATTATCGTGCAAACTTTTCTCCATGGTTGGGTTGTAAATTGCTAGAGTGGACTATAATAATAAAAAATTTAGAGTAGGGGATCTAGATTCATAATATAAAAATAGAACTACAAAGATATGCGCAACTATCTGACCTCAACCTACAATGTCATGTAAGCATTGAATGCTTCAGGCTCAATTCTAATTTAATGTGGCAAGTTGGTTTGGGATAGAGACAGGTTATTTAAAGAATGTGACCCAACCAGTTGTTTTTCCAAGAAATAAAAATAGGTCACTTATGGACCAATGCAATGGACCACAAAGCCCTTTTTGTCCAGTGGTACCAAAGCTGCTAAACCCTTATTGGAGAAAAGGGGTAGGACCCACATCATGCCAAGTCTAAGCCCCGATAGTTTTTGGGACCAATCTAACAATAACCTGCCAAAATGAGGATTATAAGGTCCATAGGGTCCTCCTTATTTGGATTGTTTCCTTTGTATATATAAAATTATACACCATAGACACCTATGTAATTCCATAATTTAGTACTGAAATTAAATATTTGTGGCATGTAGGGTTTCTAATGCTACCCTAAAAGTCATGAGGGGTACTGGGATAGAATTGTGGATTTGTACGGGACACTGTCCTAGACACTGAGCATTACAGGACATATACCCTACTAGTGTGTTGTGTGAGCTGTGTAGTCACATGGTAAGCAAAGTTTATAGGCATATAAGTGTGTTTTTGTGTGTGTGTGTGTGTATGGGCCACAGGCCCACAGAGAGAGAGCATGTGACCAATTATTAGTGAAGGAGAGAATTGTACAACTTGCCTATGACAAGGGGAACCATATGGGCACATGGCCATGTTTCCATGTGCATGTGAGAGGTAACAAATTGAAAGGCAAAATTTTTTTGAACACTAATTTTTTTTTTTTTAATAAATAAGAGATTTATGTAAAAGGAACAAAACTGCATCTATTATTAAGGGGGGCATCCTCCTGCATATAGAATATATAGATGCATACAGAACATAGACAAGGAAAATAAGAGTGTGGTCAATTATACAAGTCTTTACATAAAATCCCCAACAGCAACAACAGAAAAACCAAGCATCCACAAGTTCTTTGACAATCTATGTTTCTATGTTTTGAGATAGAGAAGAAGAAGAAAATTCAAAAGGAAAACTGCATCTATATTCTATATAACTTCTTTGTATTTAAAATTTAAAATATTATTTATACTTCTTGAAGTGGTCTTCTTTGTATTTAAAAATTAAAATATTATTTATAACTCTTGACTATACAACTTTTTTTGTATTTAAAACTTCAGATGTTATTTATAACTCCTGAAATTGTGGACTATATAACTTTTTTTGTATTTAAAACTTAAAATATTATTTATAACTTTTGAAATGCTGGACTTTACAACTTTTTTGTATTTAAAAATTAAAATATTATTTATTAATTTTTTTTAAAAAATGTATAGAAATAATTTTTAAAAAATGGTTTACACTTTTTATAATAGTATAGAAGTATTTGATAAAAATTATATAAAATAAAGTATAGAAATATTCAATAATGCTTACACTTTTATAGTACGTATAGATATAGATTTAGATAAATACAGATATAGAGATAGATTTATATGTTAATAAACTACAAATAAAAACTGTTGCAACATTGTATCCTCCTTTTAATATTCATATTTTCGATTTTTAAAACAGTGTAAAATGTTTAGAAATAAAAAAATATTCTTACACTTACTTTTATAGTAAGTATTAATAACTACTAGTAAAAACTGCTACAACAATGTGACCTCTTTTTAAATTTCATATTTTGGATTTAAAAAATAATAAATAAATGTTTAAAAATAATAAATAAAAAAAATCTTACACTTTTAAAATAGTATAGATATAAAGTTATAAACTGATAAGTGAAAATGTGTGATAATCCGTTGGACCAATCTCATCCAAGTCGATTTTTACAATTGGATCGGTTGCATGTTTTAGGATACACCCATAGAAACAACTATGTTATTTTCAAGAAACAATTGGGCTTCTAAGGACTATCCTATTCTTTATTTTCTTCTCAAGTCTTAACATTTAAGTGAAAATGAGCTTCACTTACCCACCAGAGTATCAACGCCCATATACCTTTTAAAGCGGGCAGTTATGGACGAATTGGTGGGTCATGACCCATTTTGCCACCACTATATACACCCAAAGAAACAACTATGTTGTTTTCAAGAAACAATTGGGCTACTATCCTATTCTGTTTTTTTTCTTCTCAAGTCTTAACATTTAAGTGAAAATGGGCTTATCTTACCCACCAGATGTATCCAGGCCCATACACCTTCCCCTCATTGACTAGCCCAATCAGCCTGCAGAAGTTGAAACTGAAACCCAACAAAATGATGTTAAAAGGAAAAGAAATGGCAATCCTATTGAATTATGGTAGATTCTCTATGTAGTTTTACCACAATCAATTTCTAGTTCCATTCATATATAAGATATTAACGGAATTTGTTAAAGTTATGTTTGGCAGCTCTGAATCGGCACTTTAGATTTGGAATTTAAAAAAATGTAGTACAAATTTTGATAGAACGGAATTGACCTAATTTTTCTTCAAATTCGAGGCACCAATTCCATATTACCGAAAGTAATTTTAGAAGGCCTGGTTTTTTTTCTTTTTGGGTATGATTGTTTGATCTTAGATACTGTTGGAAGCTTTAATGCCCAATATTAAGGAGACATAGTCCTCCTTTTTTATTCTAGTTTGTTCTTTGTTAGTCATGCTTTTAACGGTTCACACAACAGCCTATATATATACATTAATACATCTGTATATGTATATATAAGTTTGGTTTGTATCGTCTTCATTGGACTTTACGGGCCCACACCAATCCCATGGGCTTTGACCCATAAACAAGTTTCTATCTTGTTTGTGGCTGACAATTATGAAAAGTGAAATTTGAGTCAGATTTTTCTGCAGAAGGTTAGACTTGAATGGGGCTCGCTTACCAATTTTTATTAATCATTGAATAATATTATTGTTTTCAGTATACACATTATTTTCTAGATAGTTGAGTTTATTTTAAGTATAAAGTCCCTAATAATAATAATATAAGCATATTAAATTAATGAATTTTCTTCTCAATGGAGTTTTGTTCTAGTTAAAAGATTTCTTATAGTATATAATGGGTTAAGAAATTTAGTTTAAGAATATAAACATGAATAGGTCAAGAAATTTAGTTTAAGAATATAAACATGGATATGTCTTAAGTAAGATTCTAGAAAGAATGAATTTGCAAAAGCTGAATTGAGCTAGTCATAGTCATGAGTCATGGCTGTGTTTTGCAATATTTTATTTGATTTTGCTGTTGAGATGGAAATATTATAAGATTTTATTGTTGAAATGAAAATATCATAAGATTATATCGAATCATGTTCCGTATAAGACATCACATTTGTACAGTCAAAATCTTCTGTTGTAAAACACGAATGTGGTATTGCTTTGAATAATTTTTTTATAAAATTGTATTGTGATATCTAAGTCAAGATTTCTATCATATAAAAAGTTAATAAAATGATAGAAATCGTAGAATATTGATGGAGGACAATAGAAATATGAATACTTTTATAAAGTTTTTTTTAGATATTTTTATAAAATATTAAAAATAAGAAGACTAGTTCAGTCTTACGAAAGTCTCGGGCATTTAACTATCGAAGGAATTAAAAAAGGCTTTTAATTTTTAAAAAATATTAACTTGCATATCATCTTATGAGTTTATAAGTGATTGTAGATATTTAAGATTTATCTATAGGGCATCTTGTAAGGAATAT